GCTATAAAAGAGAGCAGTAAAGCCAATAAAGCAGCTCGGATGCTGGGAGCTCCCCCGACTCTGTCTCTTTGTCTTTCTTTTTCTTCATCCTCACTTCCCCATTCAGGTGTTGTTCGAGAAGTGACTGGCGGGCTCTGTCATGGGTGGTGCCCGAACAGGGACCTGAATACGGGGGATCAGAAGTGAAGAACGCTGCGGTTTTGTGGGCCCGCAGGAGGTAAGGGCGGCACAATACTAGGGGGTTAATATAGGTCAGGGAAGTAGTCGAATGCTTTTTGTGCAGACCCTGAAAAATTTACAGCACGCCCAAGGTACTTGGGTCGGGCAACAACAGCTATGTAACTTTTTAGAATTTGTAGAGAAAGTTTGTCCTTGGTTTCCTGAAAAAGGCACAATAGATTCAGAAGTATGAAATAAGGTGGGAAAGCGACTTCAGGACTATTATGATGGTCATGGACCCACTGAAGTCCCTATAGATACTTTTAGTTTATGGGCTTTAATTAGAGATAGTTTGGATCCTCGACATGAGAGAGAGAGAGGGTTAAAGGACCCTCCTCAAGTCCTTCCCTGGAGGAGTCTGACAAGGCTGATGCTCCTGAGGCTGTCCCTTCACCTCCCACAGAAAGTGAAACTAAGCCATCTGCCCCGTCGGCTTGTGCTGATGCAGAGCCTGAACTAAATAAAGGCCTTTTTCCAGATGAGGGTCCTTTAGACCTGGGAGATGCTGATGATTTGGAAGGGAGAGCTGTGAGGCCCGGCAGCAGGTGGGGTTGCCAGCGGGCATGTATTTGAGGGGATGGGGTGGGCATGTGTGGCGGCAGGAGTGAGGGCAGAAGATAAAAGCATGTGGCAGAGGATCGTGGTGGGAGAATCAGAGGCAGATGTTTCCAAGAATGTTTTCAGAATAGTGTGAAAGTAAGGATGAGAATGGCAATGTGATAGGTTCCTGGTACCATGGATGTTGGAACTGGAAAGACCTGACAGCTGGGGCCACGGTGTAGTGAGCAAGGTGTTCGGCTGGTGCATGTGTCGGTGCAGTGTGACAAGGCTGCATGAATGAGGTAAATCTGTGAGCGCCTAGGGAAGGTCTAGAAAGGAAAAAATATCCAAGGGGACTAAGGAAGGGAATTCGATGATTCTCAGGCCTGGGAGTATGGCAATCGGGAGGGTACAGAGAACTCTGTTATATATTTGAAAAGGAAAGCAGGAGAAAAGATCAATCTGGGGTTAGAAGAAGAGAGAAGAGGTGAGGAGTCTTCAACCTAGGACAGATCATGACAGCTGAGGTGGGCCAACTGGCAAGAAGAATGAGAAAGATGAAAGAAAAAGCAGCTAAGAGAATTATTGTGAGGATCAGGGAAGGCACTACACCAAGGGAGAATGACAATGACAGTAAAGGCAGAAGCAACACAGGATACAGCAACTTTTCCTTAAGGCAGGCAAAGTGTGTAAGAAAGCCCAGGAGGACAAAGACCTGGAGGGAAGATTAACATAAGTAGAACATGAAGGAGAAGTGAGAGGGGGCCAAAGAAAAATAAGGCTGTAGTGGTCATGGCACCTTGACAATGTTGGAGATCTCTTTATCAGTGATATGCATGGTAAGATAATAAAAGGTTGGAGAAGGGCACTAATAAAGACACAACTATCTCCAATGTGGTAGAATTCAGAAGCTAGGATGGTTAAGGGAGAATTCAAATAGCAGATGGGCTCAGTAGAACACTATGGCAAAGAGGCTGGCAATGGTGGTAGTAGTCAGAACAGATTAGGAAGGGAGGGAACACTAAGGGAAAGACTCTTGAGTCCATGGATTGACTGGGAGGTTGCAGGAAGTAGGAGTGCCATTGAAGAGAAAGTGGAGAGTCTCTGGAAAGTGACAGCTGGAAAAAATACCGGGGATGGCTGTGGGGGGGGGTTAAACTCACATCAAGGCTGGAAAACGATGCTGAAACTGGGCTTCCATGGGAAAGTATCTGTAGGATTGGGATTGGGTCAGGGTTGGTGATATGAAGACAAAGTGATGGGAAAGGCTGTGGCATCCTAAAACTAAATCATCATATGCTCTAGTGAGGTGGAAAGATCCCCTCACGGGGGTATGGAGTGGCCCCAACCCGGTATTAATATGGGGACAAGGGCATGTTTGTGTTTTCCCGCAGGATGCTGAAGGTGCCAGGTGGCTGCCTGAAAGATTGGTCCGTTTTGCAGAAAATTCTCCTGCCCCTCAGGAGGATCCCGACAACTGTCCCGCTGATAAATCCAATGATGACGCTTAATGGGAAAGTTTATTGGACTTATGTACCTGATCCACCTGTTGTACATCCAACAAGCTGAAAAAATGGAGATGAGCCGGCGGCACCTGACAAAAACGAGGTCTGATTGTTCAACTATACAGGATAGTGCCTCAAGCTTTTAATGCTCCAATAAGACTGTTCCATGGAAGAGATGTGTGGCGGATGCACCTGTGAGATATAATATTACTGGATTTGATGTGTTTTGGACTGGTCTGAAAATTCTTGTCATCCCCCGGGAAAAAAAAAAATGTCACTGCATATGTCATGCGTTCTTAGGTATTGCTTGTAGGAAATATTAATGTTTAGAAAGATTATGATTATTATAATGTAATTTACTTCAATTGTCAAATAAGCAATTGTGTCACCTGAACAGAAAATCAGATAACGGTTTTGTGAATGTGTTCTTAGATTTGGATATTAAAATGCAAAACTCCTAAAATTTGATGCAGCCCAGGTTGCACAGGATTTTATCGAACAAATTAGAAAAGTTCTGCCATCTACATCTGCATTTAGGTGGTAATTCCTTTCCATAGTAATCATTGGAGGAGGGTTACTTCTTGGATGCATGATCCTTCCGGTGCTACTGCGGGTGTTTGTGCATTCTTTAATGAGGATGGCTGGAAGTATCCATGGTCTACAATTACATGCTGTGCCGCCTAGGCCCATGGTGTAATCCCCTGCAGAGGCTGGTGGTCAATGACGGGTAAGAGGAGTACAGGAAATCACCAACCTAAGACAGAGCAAGAGTACTGTGACACTCTTGACTCCATGACGGGTAAGGGATTTCTTTGTGTTCCCCGCCTAAGACAGGCACAGTCTATCTGCGTGATCAAGGGACCTTGATCATAATATATAAAACAGGGGGAGATGTGGAGAGCCAACAGCTCTATAAGCATTAAGGTGGACAACTTGGATTTCCTATGAAAGGGTTAAGTGAAACATTGTAGAACTTGCTGCCCAGCTCTAAAGAAGTTAGGTGTAGGAGAAAGTGATAAGAACAGCACAAGGACACGGAGCTAGGAAAAAGAAAACACAGGACTGTCTCAAGGCCTGGGAACTTTTCAGATGTGCCTTATGTAAGATGTTTTTTATTCTTGAGTGCTATAAAAGAGAGCAGTAAAGCCAATAAAGCAGCTCGGATGCTGGGAGCTCCCCCGACTCTGTCTCTTTGTCTTTCTTTTTCTTCATCCTCACT